TTTTCATGGCAAAAGGTTACATGCATGTTCATAATTATGTTTAAGTCCATGATTTCACCATGTTTTGAAAAGAATTGGCTCCTTAGAGCATCAAATTGGAGCTTCAAAATGATTTGAATTCCATGCATGTTTGCATGTTCTCCATGTTCTTGGAAAATGGTTTGAAATTGGATGATCACAATGGGAATATTGTGTGGAAGTGTTGAAAGTGGAAGAAATATTGTATTGTATTATTAATCATTGCATTGACATATCAATTCATTTGATAATGAAGAGCTTTGAAATTTGATTTAAAAACTTTGCATTGAGAAAAGAATGTTGAGAAATAAGTTTTCATGAAATGGTTTTGGATAAATACGGTGGTAAGTCTTGAAAGGTGGTATAGATGAAATTGATTAAGTTGGCATTTGTGTCCTTGGTAAAAGACCAGAAAACCGTGCTGATAGGTCTCGAGCTTTCCAATTAATACTGGTAAAAATGACAAATTGGTAGTACTTGTATAGGCTACTTGCAGACACGGACCTAGGGATTACCAGAGTTGTATTTACCGCCCCTTGAATAAAATTGATAAATGTTGAACAGTTGGAAATTCCATGGCATCACTGAGTATGATGGTTTTCAAAAGATGAAGATGTGTTTTATTTTCAAAAGGGCATGACATGGCATATGCATTCATCTCTTGAGACTTGTATAAAATGTATATACTTTGTTAAGGATTTCCTACTGGGCTTTATGCTCACCTTACGGGATTTTTGTACAGGAAAAGACGTGGTGAATCCGCCTAACTGAGGGTGTGGAAAAGTGTGTGTATTGAGAGCTCAAGGTTCTCATTTGCTGTGCTTTTATTTGTAAGCTAAGGGTTTTGTATATGTGGGTTTGAATAACCGTTTTGTGTAACCGGGCTTAAGCCTTGGAAACTTGTAAACCCTTGGGGGTATTTATTTGTTTAATTACTTTTTGTTGGACTAATGTATTACTGCATGAGGAATTATTTACATTAAGAAATGTAAGCGGTGGAATTGTATAATTGGTTTTCCTTTAAAAGGGCCATGATTATTGTATTGTCATTTAGGTATAAAAATTGGGGCGTTACAAGCCATCTCACCGTGGATGCTGGAGGTATGTCGACTTCTGTCTCCTAGGATACAACGGTTTAGACCAGCTAATGCAGAAGCACCTTCTGTTGGCTTTGGCGAACTAACAATGGCAGTACTTTCTCACACAGGAAGAAAAATTATAGACAGAAGCAAACTGACTGTATATCTTGAAGCCAAAAACTTCTATAACGAATCAAGGAAGATGGGCCTCTTTTTATATACAACAGGGGACAGAGGAGGAGCCTCCAGCCATCAAGGTTGGCACCAAATGCAGGCCATTACTCCAACAAAACTGCTGGAGTAATGCACAAAAAACTGATGGGTAAATAAGTACATGAGTTATATACTCAATATACACGTGTGTATATCTGCAGCAGACTTGGCCTAAAAAGATTAGGTTGGTGGACCACCACTTCGGCCCAGCCCAAACCTAACCCAATCCAGCAAACTTCAAGCCTCAAGCCTAAATCCCACGACCTACGGACTCGGACCCAGACCCGGACCCAAACCTAAGACCTAGGTGGGTGACACGCACGTGTATCTACAGCCACCAAACAAACTTTGCCTAAAAAGATTAGGTTGGTGGACCACCAATCCAGCCCAGCCCAAACTTAACCCATTCCAGCAAGCCTTAAGTCTCAAGCCCAAATCCCACGACCTACAAACCCGGACTCAGACCTAGACCTAGACCTACACAGGCAATGTGCGCGTGTATCTGCAGTTACCAAACAAACTTGACCCAAAAAGATTAGGTTGGTGGACCACCAATCCGGCCTAGTCCACAAGATCCATGATCCACGGACCCGGTCTGGGCGGACAGGCGATGCGCGCATGTGGCAATTTTTGTATAACTAACTTTGACCATAATTCTGGCCCAAGCCTATCCTTGAAGCATCCATAATACCCTTTCTTCGAAAAATTTGGATGTCTCAAAGGACTCATGCCCTTATCAAAATCTTGAGGTTTAAATACTCGTCAATACTTTCCTCTACAATCAATGTGGGATTGGTAGTTATACACAATTCTCAATATCTCATTCATGAGGCTAATTTTATGAGACAATTTCTCATTCAATTCTTAATGATTTTTTGTCATTTTTTTTGTGATGTGAAAATTTTGTTATAAAAAATCTAAACTCATTTTGATTCCACCTCAATCAATAGTTGGGACTTACTTTAATTTCACATTAAAATTATCATAAAATCATTTTTTCTAACAAAAGTATTCAACAACTCTGAAGTTTCTGGGGGATTTTAAACTTCCAAATCCAACTCAAATGAACCATATCATGATCCTGAGCATGAGATGCAATTAGATCTTACGCAGCCCCCACAGAAAAACTTAGCATTTGTTGAGCCTTTCCAATGAGGGTTGTCTGAGAATGTAACAAATTGGGGAAGATGAATTACACAATATTACACAATATCTTAAGTCCATAAAATTCACAATTGATGCAATTCAATAACTTATAGGATATTATTTCTCTATCAAAATTTAATTATTTATAATAAATATATATATATATATATATATTTCCATTAAATATGAATTCAAATCAATTAAGTAAATTATATTATTTATTTATAGCAAGTTGTTTTTTAAACATGTGATTACCAATAGCCTTTTAACATGGCCCGAATTTAATTTTTTTAATCGACAATGCTACGTTGCTTAAATTTTGTGGCTCAAAAGTGGCTCAAATGGCCAAAACGACGTCGTTTTGAGTACAGAACAACATAAAAATGGCCAAAACGACGTCGTTTTGGCCATTTGAGCCACTTTTGAGCCACAAAATTTGAGCTACGAAACATTTTCCTTTTTTAATAATGTTAGGATGATTGTCTTTTTTTATGATTATTTATTTATCACATTTTGTGACAACACTACATTGATTTAATAGGTTCCATTACTCATATTTGCTACCAATATAATGTTGACATATAAACAAAATATGAGAACAAACTATAGTCATCATAGTGGGTGTTTGGGAAGTGGATTTTTATGTAGGTTTTTTTAGTTATAGGATATTATTGAAGAAATTTTTTTTTGTATTTGGGAAAATAGTCGGGTTTTTTTGTGGTTGGATGTGATGTTTGTAAGAGAAAAAATGAAATGATTATAGGGTTTGATGTGATATTTTGTTTGGATTTGTTTTTTTTTTTGGTTTTGCAAAAAAATTGTCTTTTAGTGAAAAAAATATAAAAAAAAACCCCAAAAAAAATTGTTGCCAAACACCGCCACAATATTATTGTAAAAGTTTAGAGGACGATTACACAAGTTATTAAATTTTGAAAGGCAACTTTAATACATTATAAAATTTACAAATTTGTTATATTAAATTTTGGGGAGGCCACTATGTAATATAAAAAAAAATAAACAAAAAAAATTAAAATAACATACATACAAAAGTTCAAAATTTGCAAAATCTTAGAAGGGTCAAGACCCTTAAGACTATTTCCAACGATTAAGCAAATGTATCACCAAATTTGAATTTGGTGAAAAAGTATAGTTTTTTTTTTACTCCAACGGTTTTATCAAACTGATATGAAATTGAGAACAATCCCAAATTTTCGCCAAACTGAAAATGTGTTGCACCTTTCAGCACTTAGCCGTTAAGTGTGGATCCACCTGACGACCGGCCAGACGTCCACCTTAAACAAAATTTTGTGAAAATTTTACATTAGGAGGTCGACCTCCTCTTTGTTTTCTTAGTAAAAATAAATAAATAAAAATAAGGGAAGAAAGAAAGATCAACAGTATACCTCAGTAGCACAGCTGAAGAAGAAATCAAAAATCAAACAAACAAACACATATAAGTCCCTGTATGATGTATAATCAAAAACCCAGAAGCAGAAACTCCATTAAATCCGAAATCGATAAACAAAAACTAAATCTTTCTTCCTACATCTATAAATTTCTACTCAAGTTTGATGTAGTGAAGAGCGAGAAGGAAGGAGTTGATGCTAGTATGATAAAAATGATTTGTCTGTAAAAGGATTATAAAGAGAGAAACAGAATGAGTGAGGTTTTTTGAATTGTTTTAGAACAGCCCCAACACAACACGACAACCCCAATTGTTTCATAACTAGGTTTTTCATTTTTTTGCATTGACTGATCGACTAGCCGGTCGTCTGCCCAGTCAATCGGTAATTTGATGAAAAGTCAAATTTCTCCGTTGGAATAGACGATATCAAATAGAGAAAATCGTCTTTTTCTTACTCAAATTTGATGAAAAATCTAATAAACCATTACCGATGCTTTAACCCCCTCCCTCTGCCCCCAGTTAGATTCCAACCATGTTCCAATCCATTTGAAAACCACTTAAAAAAGTTATAAGGTTGCTAAAAAAAAATATTAAAAATTACTAAATTTTTTGTTATGATTTAATTTTTTTTAAATGTCACATAAATTTTTTGTTTCAAACTAAACCGGTCGAACTTGACCAGTTGAACCTCCAACCATGCTCCCCCATGCTCCCATTCCGATTCATAACCCCCCAAAAAAAAAAGAAAATTTTTGAGGGCCACAATTTTTGTGGCTATAATGGCTCAAAACTGTCAAAACGATGTCGTTTTGGCATATTTTACATCCAAAACGACGTCGTTTTAACAGTTTTGAACCATTATAACCACAAAAATTATGACTCTTTAGCATTGTTGAAAAAACAAAGCGACAATGCTACGTAACTCAAATTTTGTGGCTCAAAAGGCCAAAACGACGTCGTTTTGAGTACAGAACAACATAAAAATGGCCAAAACGACGTCGTTTTAGCCATTTGAGTCACTTTTGAGCCACAAAATTTGAGTTACGAGACATTTTCCAAAACAAAGACAAAAATACAAAACCGGTTAAAGAAAAATGCGTTGGGGCTCGAATATTTTGGGCTCGAATGGTCCGAAAGCGTGGGCTCACGCGCCCATAACACCTCTATCTCGACCTCTCTGCTTTCTCAGTGTTGTGCCCGAACTCTCTCTGTCTCGCTGTCTGTCATCGTTCTCACCATTCGAGATTCCGACTACCTCTCCGAATCATTCGAGTCTATCACCACCTCTCTCTCTCCTCCCAAACGACGCCGGAAACTTGTACTGTGGAAAGGACTGTCATCGTGCTCGGTGGTCAGCGGGATACTCCTCTCATTCGAGCGACTCTCACAGCCGATTATCTCCCTGCCGGATTACTGACCAGAATACATTCGAATCTCAGGTAAACTCTGGATGACAAAACTAGGGTTTGATGATTGAGGGTTTTGTATTTTGCCCCAATTATTTCAGTTAGCCTGTGGATCACAAAACTAGGGTTTGATGATTGAGAGTTTTGTATTTTGCCCCAATAATTTCTATTAACCTGTGGATCACGAAACTACGGTTTGATCACACAACTCTGTTTAGGGTTTTCTTCCGTATTCTATGTATATATGTTCTCCGGTGAATTTTTCCCCAATCATTTTTGCTGCTAAATGTTGGTTTCTGGTGAAATTTTCCCCAATAATTTTTGTTGCTAAATATTGTATCGCTGCTGAGTTTGTCCTGACCATTTGTTGGTAGTGGCTTTGCTGGTGAATGTTGCCCCAACAACTTTTGGTGCTAAATCTTGTGAATTTGTGAATGGTGGTGAAATGGTGAATGGTGAACTTTTTCTACCAAGTCTTGTCAATTTGTGAATGGTAAACTTTTTCTGCTAAGTCTTGTCAATTTGTGAATGGTTAACTTTTGCAGCTAAATCTTTTGGCCCAACATGATAATGGTGAATTTGTGTATGTGGATTTACATTGACTATTTAGGCAAAGAATTTGTGTATGTGTCTAATACATGATAAATGGCCTTACAGTGAATGCAACCTGACAGTGAATGCAAATTTATAGACGGTCCTGCATTTTTTGTTTTGTATTTCAAATTTATAGACGGTCTTCTCATACTCTCAATGTGATTTCTTGCATCTCGTTCATCAAATGTTAATGCCTCGTACCCCCCTGCTTCAACAACTATAGAATGAAAATTCTTAGCCACCCCTATCCCTGCTTCATCGTTTATTTCTAGTTTTCTCTTCACATGAGTAAGAATTCTCTTAGTCATTGCAAAATGCCGTTAGTCACTAGGAATCAAGTCATGCGTATGTTCAAGTACAACTGTGGTTAATTTAAACCTGTCATCCTTTTGTAGAGTCGCTCTAACCTTTGCTTTACATGCAATGAATGATGACAAAGATGGTTCGAGAGGGTGTACTTCTAATCGTTTTGTTCTCTTGCGTGCCCGAGTACATTCAATTCCAAAATATTTTATTTCCACATCTTGTCCAATATTTTGTGTTCTATAAGTTACAGCAAATCCAAGGTGTTTCGCATATTTTGCATAAAAAATGTATACTTCTTGCTTTGAGCTAAAACACATTCCCTTATTCGGTTCTTCAGTTTCACCAATATCATTTAATGATGGATTGTTCTCCGCTTCTTCAACTTCCTCAGTCCTATTCAATGAAGGATTGTTTGAATCAATGCCCATTGAAGCGGGTAGCTTGAAACCAAAATTCAGACTACATAACCAGTAATCAGACAGAAAATAAAGTGTAAGTGAATGTAGTGACAAGATTTCATTTTTCTTTCACTTCCCAAAGCATAAGGCATAATTTTTCTATGTGGACTTTCATCAAACTATTGGAATGCATCAATACAATGGAAGATGTTTAACAAAGGGTCTGATTCCAAAATAACCAAAAAAAATTAACAGACATCACATCACACAAATCGGCATATGCAAAAAATTGCCTCTCTCACAAATGCATCTTAGATGCACAAAAAAAAAAAGAAGAAAAAAAACAGAACAATAACTTACCTAATCTTACGAGTTTTAATAGAGGGTCTGTTTAATAGATGTTTAACAGAGGTGAACGGTGGTCAGCGATGGTCACTGGTGAACACTAGGTCGGTGGTCGTCAATGAACACCCAGGTCGGGGGTCGTCGTTCTCGTCGGTGAAGTCCTGCTCGTCTGGTTTCCCTCTCTCTCTCTGTTCTTTCCTCTCTTTTCTATTTTATTTTTCAATTCTTTGTTCTCCAAACCAGAACACGTGGGTTCCACGCACATCATGTTTTAGGAGGGAAAATAATTTTCAGCCATTCGGGCCACCATCCTTTTGGGCTACCTAGCAACTTTGTTTATTAAAAAAGCTAGTGAACTGCGGTTAGACTGTCTGTCGGGTCAAACTGGTGCCAGTTAACGAAAACCGTCGGGGTTCTAAACACACCGATGCAGTTTCACGTTTTGGGGCCTAGGGTTCTCTCTCTCTCTCTCTCTCTCTCTCTCTCTCTCTCTTGTGGCTTTCTCTAATAGAGTCCAAGAGACAACGATCATTCCTTCTCTGGCGGACCAGCCTCCCGGTACCCATCGCTCTCCCCCTCTGATTCATGCCCTAATCCCTAATTTCTTCTTATGTATTCGTTTTCTCAATTTTGATTGGGAAAGTAAAGATTTTGTAGAGATTTTATGGAGACTATAACACTGACATTTAGGTTTTCAATTCCAATAAAACAAAATCTTATGGGCTTGTTTGATTAGGCGGACTATAGCATAGGATTGAGATTTTTATTATTCGGATTAAATTCCAATAGTCATAATTAGATTCTAATAGTCATTCTATCCAACATAATTGATGAATTTTTTAACCTTACAACTAATAATAACACAAACCATGCATATAATTGGGATTATGAGGTTTTATATCTATTGCAAAATAATAATCCCATAGATTGTTAATCCCCTCGCTATTAATACTTGCTAATCAAACAAGCCCTATATGAACATGGACATAGTAATTTGCTGTAATTTAATGCTTGAGGGGTTTGAACTTTGAGTATTCATTTAGCTACTTTAACTTATATCTCTCCAATTTTCCATTGTTTGATATGGAATTTGTTTGAGACCTATGAAGCATGGACACGCCAAAATGGAAGCCGTGGCGGTGTCGGATACGGGGACACGTCGGGGACACATACGGGACACGGCATCTAGTGTGTTTCCTTCATTTAATTAATTTTTTTGCGGGGAACACGGCGGAGACACGGCAGAGACACGTGTGTCCAAATCTGGACTCGCCATGGGACATGGGAGAAGAGTAAATGAGTACAAACCTGGTTAGCGACTTCTCAGCCTTCGATCTCGAGGCAATCGACTTCCATCCAGTCCATTTCGACGATCCAGTCCACTTCAACTCAGAGCTTTCTCTCTCGCCTTCAGCTTCGCATTTGCAGAGCTCTCTCTCGCCTTCTCTCTCTCTCCCTTCCTTGCGATCGCGATCGCTTCTGTCTCCCTCTCTCTCGCTGATCGCGATCGCGCAATCGCTGGTCTCCTCTCTCTCGCTGATCGCGATCGGTGGTCTCCCTCTGTCTCCCTTTTGCTTCTGTCTCCCTTTGTCTCTTCTGTCTCTCCCGTCTTTATCCATATAGGAGTATAATATATGTAACTATTATCTATTATAATAACTATTATTATATTATAATAACAATAACTATTATAATAACTATTATTATTATTATATATTATAACTAATAACTATTATAATTATATATTATATAATAGTTATTATATAACATAAATATACTTATAAGATAATATATAATACATATTATAAAATAATATATACTTATTAATAAATAAATAAATAAATACATATGTAAAATAAAATAAAAAAATTAATTAGAACACATTATTTAAAAAATATAATAAATAAATAAAATAATTAATGTGCATTAAAATAAAAATATTTATAAAAAAATTAAAAAATTTGCCGTGTCCCCTGCCGTGTTCGTGTATCCATTTTTTAGAAATTGCCGTGTCCCGTGTCTGTGTCCGTATGCGTGTCCGTGTCCGTGCTTCATAGTTTGAGACTTTAGACCTGCTTTTATGAGGCTTTTTGTTATACAAATAAAGAAAACAATTGAACGAGTTTTTAAGAAAATTTAGTTTTTAGTTTTTTTTTTTAATTTTAATTTTAAATATCCATATTCTTTTATTTATGCATATTGTTTAATATATTTGTTGAAATAATAACGATGCCACTGTTCGATTCTGGTTGATCCTGTAATTCGCTGGTTTGCTTAAAGGTCCAGGTTTCATAACCTTGCTCTGATGTATGTGCCCTGTGACGTTGTGATCCTTATATTTCATTGTATCAATTTAATCCATGAAACAAAATTTTATATTTCAGGTAGGTTTAAATTTTAATCCAAACCTGACTTGGTCAATGCTGATTCGAAGCTAGGGAGGTCTAGGGCTGAGTTCATTTATTGCCCAGCCACATAGAGAGAGAAAAGCCAAAAAGAAGAAAAGGGGTTGCAGTGGCAGCCATGGGAGGAGGATTGCAGGGGTCATGGCATGTAGAAGCGGTGGCGGCAAACGATGGTGACTAGAGGTTGTTTCTCCGGCGACTTTTCTTGAGTTTCCGGTGACTTCCTGTTGATTTTCTGAGGTAGGGTGATGGACTCAACCCAAACATATCTTATTATATATAGATGTATATATGTGGTGTGGGAATGTATATGTATATATTTATCTTTGTAGGTTGTTTCAAAATTTGCTGCCATTGATCTGGTTGTTTTTTGGGTTTGCTACTGGGTTTGAGATCAGAGTCCGAGCTGGTGTGATTTCTTGAATTGTGTGGCTAAGCAGGTCTGAAGTGGTGACTTGATAGGTCTATGGGGGCTGTTTTAGTGGTATGGCTTGTGTTTGGGCATGATGAGGGGGGTGTTGGGTGGCATGAGATGGTATGGTATACAGGTTGATGTGTGAACCTGATGTGTTGGTATAGATAAAGCATGGTATACTAGTTCCTACGGATTTAGATGAAGTTGTTGGTCCCAGTAGTCAGAAGTCACGGACATAAACATTGGTCTTGGTATCTGAGATATAGATGAGGTGTGTGACAAGGTGATGGGATCGGGAAGTAAACGGATGAAGAATAATTACTTATTAGAAATTTTAGTTTATTTATGAATTTTAATGGCATTAGGATTTTAGTTCTATTTGTTTTCCTTGTTGGATAATCCTTGTCTCTCTTCTCTTCTCTGGTTCTACACCAATTCAGTATCAAAGTCTTGCTTAATTGAACATTGTTTATCTCCATGACCTTTTTTATTTTCATTGAATGAAATTAAAATTTCTAATTGGTAATTATTCTTCATAGATTTTCTTCCTGATCCCACCACCTTGTCATACACCTCATCCATATGTCAGATACCAAGACCCATGTTTACGGCCTTGAATTTTTTGCTGGTTTTATATTTCTCTTTAATTTTTGAGATTTAGATAAAACTTATTGTGCCTTGGACAAAGCTGTGGTATTATGCTTGTGGCTTCAGTAGTATTCTTATTGTGGTTGAGTAGATGTTGATTTAGAATCACAGGATGGGGGTTGGAAGTTAACGCTATAGTTAAGGATGTAGAAAAGCATGCTCATTCCATTTAATATAAAAGAGAATGCTTATTCCATTTAATGTTCATGAAGCATTATGCTGTTTCACAGTTCTTGCTCTGTCGACGTTAACGTCGATAAGCTATAGAAATAAACACTCATATTTTCTGCTTGTATGAATGGATTGCTGTTTAATATTTTTCTGAGCAAATTTTTTATGTTTTGTTTTTGAGATCTGCTTTCTACTATTGTTCAGGGTGGCTAGTAGTCATTTGATTGTTGTCACTTTTGGGGGGTCTAAACTTCTTGAAGCCTTAGCTGTTACTGTGTATCCTTTGTTCAAGATGTCCTCACCTTCAAAGGCACTATCAACTGAAGTTGGGAACCTCAGTCATCAAAATTGTTTCCCTGTGGATCCAAGCTTATCCAATTGCAGTGAAAGCCATTTGGAACATGAGGATGTGGAAGAGAGTGAGGAAGAGGAAGAGGATGTAGATTTTAACCCCTTTTTAAAAGAATCCCCATCTCTGGAAGCTTCTTCAAGCCTGAGCTCTGAAATTGAAGTTTTCGATGCTGATATTGCTGACAGCATGGGAAACACATTTGTAGCCTTGGCTATTAATTTTTCATCAATACCACCTGGTCAGGTGCAAGACTATGCCCTTGGAGATTCAGAGCATGGTGAGGAGATTGTGATGCAAACTGCCATTTCATCTGGAGAAACAGGTGAAAAAGAATCAGAAAAATCATGTCCCACAAGATTCAAGAAGAGAAAAGCAGTTTTGATATCTCAGCCTGAAAATAGAACAATTCATAGAAAGGAGAATGATTCAGGCAGTGGAATTGATATTGTTAATGATGTTATCGTTGGAGATATAACATATTCTAGAGAGCCAATTATGGATATAGATGATGAGGATGCCATCTGCAAGCGCACGAGGGCCCGCTATTCACTTGCTAGTTTTACACTTGATGAACTTGAGACTTTTCTTCAAGAAACAGATGATGATGATGATCTTCAAAATGTCGATGACGAAGAAGAGTATAGGAAATTTCTCACAGCTGTTTTGCAGGGTGGAGATGGTGATAGTCAGGTTAGTCAAGGAAATGAAATTGTTGATGATGAAGATGAAGAAAATGATGCTGACTTTGAAATAGAAATTGAAGAGGCGCTTGAGAGTGACCTTGATGAAAACACAAGGGGTGACAACCAAGAAGAGCGTGAGGCAGCTGGTCGACGCCCTGAGACTAGGCAAAATAGACGCCGAAAAGCATCTGTCCAACAGAAAAATAGGCTTTTGGGACAGGGAAATAGGCCATTGCGCCCGCTCTTACCCAATGCACCTATTTCAACTTTCCCTGTGTTAGCACCTGAGACTGCTCAACGTTGTTTGTCTTTCTCAGGACATGATGGTTTTATAAATGGATTTACTGCACATCAACTGGGCCAGTTGCATTGTTTAATACACGAGCATGTGCAACTTCTTATTCAGGTGTTTTCTCTTTGCGTTCTTGAGCCTTCTCGACACCACATTGCCTCCCAAGTTCAGGAATTGATTTCAGAGATGCTTCACAAACGTGATCAAGTAATGTCATGGAGAAGGGTGCCGTATCCTTGTTTTTGCTTTTGCCCTCCATATATTCATCCATCAGTGCGACAAGGAATTTCCAAATCATTAACAGCACCATGCACCTCTGGGTCAGCCTGTTCCTTTGATGAGCAGAGAGATTGCTCCTCTGGAACTAACAGAGGGCCGCTTCCTGACGTAATTTCTCCTTCTAAAGAAATACCTCGAAATGGTTTTAATGGACAAGAGGGTCACTTTCAAACTTCTGATAGAGCTTTGTGGGCCCCGTTTGTAAATGTGCCCATCCTATCTGTTCTGGATGTAGCTCCGCTTAATTTGGTTGGAAAATATATGGATGACGTGTCTATCGGTATGTCATGTAGAAGGGATTAAATACTTGTGTTTCAGTAGTTATTTGATCATTTCTGCTTACCATTGTTCGGAATTATTGACAGCTGTGCAAAGGTATCAGAGGCTACATATCCAAGCTGATTGTGATACTCGTTTTAAAAAGGAACCCCTGTTCCCCTTTCACAGTTCTGAGTCTCTTGCTGAAGATAATGCCGAAGTTCTAAGAGGGACCACTCTGCCAATTGCAAAGGTGCCGCCATATTCTGCTGGTGTTCAACCACCTAAAAAGACATTGGCTGCTGCACTTGTTGAAAGGACCAAGAAACAATCAATTGCTCTAGTTCCGAAGGAAATTGTTGAGTTATCACAAAGATTCTTTCCACTGTTTAATCCAGACCTATTTCCACATAAGCCACCCCCGGCACCTGTTGCAAACAGGGTTCTTTTCACAGATGCAGAAGATGAGTAAGTTTTATTTAATTATTAATTTTTATTATTCTACCACACTTAGTTTAAATTGGTTGAATGAATTCTTCTTGAAATCAATCACAAGCCCCATTTTAGTTTTGTAGAGTTACTTTTATCATGGATCAAATGGTTCTTATCTGCCTGGACTATGTTACTATGCAAAAAGCACAATAAAGATATTTGTAATTACCAGGATTGGGACTTCTAATCATAAACAGAAAGCTTTGAGAACTCCATTTCTAGAAGCATTGTAAACATACTAAAGATTCCAAATGAATAACCAATGACAAACCCAAATTAAGATTTCCATGCCACAACTCATATCTATCAACTTTTGCAATTGGTAAGGTGCATTTACCTTTTAACACTTAATAAAATTATACCTGCATAACCTACAATTAACGTAAAAAATTATTAGGTTCAAACCTGATTATGTACGGTAACAAGCATGCTTTATACAAGATTCCCAATTGGCCCCTGTTTTCTTGCTAATATCTGCATCATCATCAACTGTTAAACTCATTTTGGCCTCTTTTTTTGTGTTTGTTTCCTAGCACTACAAACGTAAAACCAAGAAATAATTAGTTTCAAAAGGACTTAATAGAGTTCATTTTATAATTAGATTTTGTGCAAATGCTCTTTTGGATTATGTTCAAGAACTTGAAGGAAATATATAGGCTCTGTTTGGTGAAGCTCTAGAAAGTTAGTTCCAGAGCTTCATTTGAACATAATGTTTGTTTAGGATTTTCAAAAATTAATTCCACACTCACTTTTGAAAACGCGGTCGGAGGCTGGAAATTTTTGGGCTACCGGTCGTCCCACCGGTTGTCCGGCCGGTTGACCGGAACAGTGTATTATTTTTTTTTTTTGCAATTGACACGTGTTAATTTTTATATATTCAATAAAAAATATTTTCTAAATTTTTAATTTTTTTTTATGAGTTTTAATAGAATTTTGAGTTATGTGTTTGGTTATGAGTTAAAAGTTTTTGTATCAAATAGCATTTGTCACATCAAAAATTCCCAACTCAATTCAAAACTCTTTTCAAAACTCTTTTCAAAACTCTTTCACCAAACAAATTTTCTACACTCAAATCATAATTTCAAAACTCACAAACTCAAAATACAACTCTATTTTCAAATCATATTTAGAAAACTCTACCAAACGCAACCATAATTTCCCTTTGCCATGAAGTGGATCCAGTGGATTTCAGCTCCCAGTTATGCAAATGAATGGCTTTCTTATAAACCCACGTGGAATGATTTTGTAGTTAGTCCTTATGCTCCAAGGAATAATGCTTATCTCGTATGCAATATTGATTTTTTGCAATGTCAATTAGTTAATTTGCCTTCATCTTAGTGGAAGCATAGTTTCAGTGTGAAGAAGCTCTGATCCAAATTTCTCAAAATGTATCTGCATCTTAGCTGGAAGTTTAAAGTATTGGTGTTATAGTTTTGTAGTGGTCATCAAGTCAGGCTTAATTGGCTGCATATGCCTCAGAATTTGAAAGAATGAAACTTTCTTATGTGGAACATAAAGAAGTGAAACTGTTTTTCGTTATTTATGACAGTGATTCCTTGTAGTGTTTTTACTCTGCAGTATTGATTTGCTTTGTAGGTTAGTCCTATGTTGAATGTCACGTTACTTAATTGCTCCATGGCCATAATTTTGGCACATTTCAATCTGTAACCTTTAGCAATGCTCCATACTTGTGAAATTCTATCCTACTTATTTGTTGGAATACCTGTGGAAGCTCACCTGTTTATTTGGTATTGTGTTGTAGATTACTGGCATTGGGGTTGATGGAATATAATACAGATTGGAAAGCAATTCAACAACGATTTCTTCCTTGTAAAACTAAGCACCAGGTAATTTCTTTTGTGGACTTAGCATTGCATATACTGCATAGCACAGTTTTTGTCATATGAAATTGTATGAAGCTCCTAAAGTTTTTCATTTTCATTTTTAAAAAAAAAAAATTTCCCTTTTGACTTGACTATGCTGATTGGGTTTTTCTTCCCTGCTGCAATTCAATAGTGTATTGTTTACTTAAGAGTTTCTTTTAATAAAACTGAGCATTTAGGTACTGAAAAATTCTAAATCTGCGTTAGTGCTGAAAACTTGAGGTAGCTAAACTTTCAAAACTCAAAATTTAAAACAAGTTCGTCTGTTAAGATAAAATTTACAACAAATTTCCAATTTCAGGATTCAGTGGTAAGCCATGTTGTTCTACTACTTCCCAGTTTCAGCATCTTTCTAACTTCAAATTTCAGACCATTTTGGGTTAAGATCTAGGCATATGAAGTTTGGGTGCATCACCTACATGCCAGCTGTCAGTTCCAGATTGCTATTTTGGTTTGGCATGTGTCTGGAAATTGCCAGTCTGCAATATGCAAATATGCATGGGGTTGATGAGCACATTTGGCAGTGTGCTGAACTACATGCAATTGGAATTAGTGACTTGGTTTCCCTCAGGCAAAAAACATGCCCTATGCATAGCACTTAAAATGGTACAAACTCTTTGAAGTTTGAATCTTGCACCATTTTGTGTGCTATCTTTATTCCAAGAACTTCCAATCCAGAGTTGCTGCTCCATTTCTCTATCATGCTAATGATTAAGTACATTGCCTTCTTTTTTTTCCTTTTCCCTTCATTTTTTGTTCTCTCTTGAATTTTCTTCCAACTTTTTATTCTTAAAATTGAAATTGTTGAGGTGGAATATTATTGTAATTCATCATCTCTGCTGTGGTGACTTCTAAGAAGTGTTAATTTTGTTACAGATTTTTGTTCGACAGAAAAACCGTTCATCTTCTAAAGCACCAGAAAATCCAATCAAGGTATGTAAATATCCCTATCATATTTACCAAATAGAATTACCTTACTCCATTTTGCATTTCAGTCTGATGGAATTTCATTGGGAATGTATTTCACAAAATGCCTAATTTTGAGCAGTCCCTGAAATCATGGTAAGTGGTCCAGAGGATATTCAAGGTATCAGAATACTGAAACATCCGAGTTGATGTCATATTTTGGACAAAATATTGCAATAGATGATCTAAAGATTATTCTAATTTATTAATAGATTATAAGATGCAGCAATGGTGGACCTGGATATGTTTATCATATAGGCACTTTGATTATGGGCTCACTACTTTTCATTAGTTAAAATATTGTGAGGCTTTTACAATCATGCAGGCAGTTCGTAGAATGAAAAGCTCCCCCTTGACTGCAGAAGAGATAGCACGTGTTCAAGAGGTCAATTTATTTTGGCATCTTTTGTATTTATTTATTTGAGAATTCATCTTCTCATGCTTGCTCTGTCTCATTCATGTGTATAACCTAAATCATTCAGGGACTAAAGGTTTTTAAGCTTGACTGGATGTCTGTGTGGAAATTTGTTGTCCCATATCGAGATCCGTCCTTACTACCCCGACAGTGGCGCATTGCTACTGGAACTCAGAAGTCATATAAAACAACTGCAGATAAAAAGGAGAAGCGAAGGTTATATGAATCAAATAGAAGAAAGTGCAAACCTGCGGCTTCGCCAAGTTGGCAAACTTCATCTGAAAAAGAGGTAAGCTTATTTTTTGAACCATCTGAATGGCTATTATGATATGTGAGTGCTATAACACAGACATGCAAGTAAACCTGATATAAGCTAGCTGAGGTTGCCTAACTTGGACTTGGCTTGAGCTCAGAATAGTCTTTGACGGACTTGAACTTGATTTATTTTCTATCATCCTCCCATGTATGACAGTCTTGCTGAATGGGTTGGACAATGAAATTAAACTTTTGACTAGATAAACTACAAATTTTCAAAAGCCCCATAATTAAAACTGAACTCAGAAATTATGATGCTTGTTTGTTTATTATAGTGTCGTTCACTGTAGTATTTTTGTGTATCTGGTTTATTAGATAAGTATGTAGATTATCTAATCTTACATGACTATAAATACATTCATGGCTGAGTGGGGTGATGTATTGTGTTTGCCTAGAGGTTAGGACTTGCTCATGATCCTTATAATTGTGCTCTTGTTCGGCCTTATTTGCAGTGGGATGAGATCTTTTGTAATCAATGCTTTGACCTTGTTATACATTTTTTATTGACTTGCAGGATTGTCAAACTGATAATGCTGGTGGGGAAAATAATAGCGGAGATGATTGCTTGGATAATGAAGATGAAACTTATGTTCATGAGGCATTTTTGGCAGATTGGAGGCCTGGTACCTCCTTTCCCTTTCCCTCTAGGCTTCCTTCCTCAAATCATAGAGAAAGAAGCCAACCTAGTGATTTATTGTCACAAGGGGGTCCTCGTGTCATGGTACAAACAAATAATAGTGGCTCTGGAGGATCTCAACCCCAAATTGGTCTCAAGTTTCCAGCTCATTTAACCCATAGTAGACACTATGCAGCTGTTGGTGAGCCAAATCGTGCTGTTTCTGATACGACTTTGAGGCCTCCCAAATCTCAGTTCTGCTCCCGGCCATATCGATCTCGTAGAACAAACAGTGCTCACTTAGTACAGTTAGCTCCAGATTTGCCTCCTGTAAATCTTCCACCATCTGTCTGCGTAATGTCTCAGTCTGCTTTTAAAAGTTATCGGGGTGGAGCATCTACTAAGGTTCCAGCTGCTGAAACTGAAAAAGTAGTTTCGCCACTTATTCGTGTTGCAAATTCAGGAAGCAGCCATCCAATAAAATCTACAGAGAACAAAAGCAATGCTAATCAGCATCAACAGGAAGCTTTTGTCCTTAGAGATAGATGTGTTGAAGGAGATAAAGGTGACTCAGATCTACAGATGCATCCTTTACTATTCAAATCCTCTGGAGATGGCCATATGCCATATTACCAATTAAACTGCTATAATAGCACTTCAAGTTCTTTCAATTTCTTTTCACGATTCCAGCCTCAGTTAAATCTCAGTCTCTTATATAATCCTCACCACCAAGCAAACCAAGCAGTTAATCATTTTGATAAATCTTCAATGTCGAAGGAAACAACTTCTCCGGCTGGTGGTATTGACTTCCATCCGCTTCTGCAAAAAGTCAATGATGCAAATGGTGATTCAGTAACTGCACACTCAGTTGCCGATCTATCTGTTAATTTGGAACCGTTAAGAAGCAGTAATGCTCAGCTCCCATTTAATGCTGTCCAGTCTGAGTCACGGGCCACCAGCAATCGATCGGCTGCTTGTACTAAGTCAGGCAGTCCAAACGAAAAAGCTAGTGAACTAGACTTGGACATTCACCTAAGTTTTTCATCCAGAAAGGAGAAAGCTATAGGAAGTAGAGATGTTAACAAACTCAGCTCAACAACATCGAACTTAACTGTTCGAGGTTCTGGAACTGCCATGGAAACTCAAGCCACGAAAAGTTCATGTCATCAGCGAAGTGAATATTCAGGTGCCCATTTATTTGTTGAATCAAGCAATAATACTTCTATGACTGACATTAACAATGAAGGCGACCGGTCTCTTCCAGAAATTGTGATGGAACAGGAAGAGTTAAGTGACTCTGAGGAAGAAATTGGAGAACATGTAGAGTTCGAGTGTGAGGAGATGGATGACTCCGAAGGAGATGGAGTATCTGACTCTGAGCAGATCATGGACATACAAAATAAGGTATCTGTACTGCATCTTTCAGTTCATGCAATGCATATTTCATTTCTTCATATATCTATGTGTTATCCACCATATTTTTTTACCCAGACTGATTGTAGTGCATTATATTTTATTTGTAGTGACTGGCATTGTCTGTCATAATATTCTATAATTAATTTGGTCTTTCTTAGTCTGGAGGACACAGCCCACTGTAGGAGCCCACTTGTTGACTCAGACTAACTTACCTTCTCCAACCCAGTGAGCAATCTGAACCTTTCAAGCCCCAAGAAATCTCCCAACAGATGAACCCTAAAGGTTTTTTCAATTGGTTGAATGAAAGCCAAGGCACTTGCATTAAATTCCATTACTAATAGTCGACGTCTTTTTTTTGGGTAAAGTGAATTTTATTGACCAAACAAGAGAACACATACAACAAAACTGGTCAGGCCAGTCCAAAAATCACAGAATTAGAACTTCTCTTAGTACTGCAAACTTGTAAAGTCTATCCTTCACAAATTGCTTTCCAGAAAATTCTTTGATAGTCTGAAAGCTCCTTTTTGTGTTTTGACATATATTGTTGTTTGCACTTGAATTAAGTGACCAGTGTGCCTCTTGTTTAATTTTCAAAAGATGCATTTTTCTATTTGTTAACATTAAATTCTATGTAATTATACTACTTTGGTCGAAATTAGGTTTGCTTGGTTCTTGTTTCCTCTCGTTCCTGACAAGGTTACGTGAATGTAACAGAAACAAATAACAAAAGCCAGAAATTAGAAGTACTAAAGTTTGCATTTGTGGCATTCATCGAACTTGTTTGGCAGAGTCTGTTTATATCATGTTATATCGAGCATGGTCCACAATTCACATGCTTCATAGTTCCTCATATCTATCCCGGTTAAACAGTGTTAATCTTGTTTTCCCAACTGTTTATAATTGTTACTAGGAGGTCCCAAATACCACAAGAGAAACAATTGAGAGAGATTCAGATTTTGATGATCAACAGTGCGGAGCAAAAGCCCAAGGGAAGGAAAAGCCTAGTCCTTTAGTCTTGAGTTTGAGTTCTTGTGCTCCACCGGGATGTCCTCCACATAATAAAATGAAAGCAAAGACTACAGAGAGTACAGGCACAGAAGGTTCTGCTGGCAAAAATCACCATCCTCCATCTCGCTCCAACAGATCTTGCAAGAAACCGTTATCACGTACAAAACACATTGCAGCACAGAGACAGGCCATGGACACACCACAACAGCAAGTGAAAAGAATGGAATCGGGTTCTTTTGGTGCTGTAACCCCATTAAAGGGGTCCAAAAACAGCACAAGCAAGAGTAATTTGGGTTTAATTATGGGTCGAGCTAGAAAAAGAGATTCAAATGTAAATAATACTGGTGCGACTGTTGAAAACTCTGGTAGTGCTTAATAGGTGGTAGTTTTGGTCGAGTAGAGCCTAAGATGGCTGTTGGATGGTGATTTGCATGTTAGCACCTCTACTTGAGTAGCGAATGACAAGGTGGAATCCGCTCGCAGGGGAGGTCAAGAAAAGCTCTCCATGAGGAGGTTTGTTCATTTTTTTGTTTTTTTTTTTTTCTTGTTGTAAATATTATGTGGACAAATATTTTATGTAGAGAGCTGTTTTTGCCAGAAGTACATTCTTCCGTGGCTTGATGTGTCAACGGGACTTTTTGCTCATCCCAAAGAATGAATTCTGAGCTATAGAGAGTCCCCAACACATTTCATACATTCTAAATGAAGGTGAAATGGCCAAATTGAAATTGGAGGGTTTTTTTGGCCCAAGATTTGGAAAATCTCGTGGCTTCTTTTTGTTATTTGAGTTATTTTCAATAGAACAAATGCGAAGTTTCCTTTAGGCTATGTTTGGTTGGAGCATTTGAAAAAAGGAAAGGGAAAGGAAAAGGGAAATAAAAAAAAGTTATGTGAAATTATGTAAAATGTAGGTATATTTTATTCATATTTTATTTTTTCATTTTTCTTTTCAAATTTCTGTTCAAATTTTCAACCAAACACAGTCTTAATTGTAGCACTCTACTCTCATCCAGTTTTAAGGTGGGATTTTTAGTTTTCTAATCCAAATCATAGAGAAGCGACAACCACATTTAGTACTACCAATTGGCCACGAAAGGAGAAAAAAAGACCCAACCCTAAATTTTAGTCCTCTTTTCGTCCATCTATTGTGGTTTGAAATTTTTATCATTTTGCCCAATTAAGAGAATGATAATACATTCTCATGAGGGTTATATTTTGTTATTTTACATTAAAGTATAAAAAATAAAAAAGGCTGGAAGGTTCCCAATAGTGTCACCATAAAAGGCCAAAAATTGTTATGCCAAACAAGTGGGCTTTTAAGGTTGAGATGGATAAAGTATATTTTTCACCATTATAATTTGATCTAAATTTCATCTTAGAAGTATAATTTATCCTCTCTTTTTTTTATTGTCTTATTTTTAAGTTAAAAAAACCAGTTTTAGTCGAATAAGATTAGAAAATCCAACAGTGGAATTTCTCCTACTCATTCCATCTTCCAAATTTCTTTTGGAAATTGCCAAGTTTCACTGACCTTTCTAGAGTGTTTTTTTGGTGACAATTACATTTATGATTTTTTAATGGCATTGACATGTCATGGTCTCTTTCTCATTCCATCTTCCAAATTCCTTTCAAGTTTCACTGATCTTTGTAGAGGTTTTTTTATTTTTTTATTTTTTTTTTTATTCTTTGTGACAATTACATTTTTTACCCATTCCATCTTCCAAATTCCTTTTGGAAAGGGTAAGCTTCACTGACCTTTTTGTGTCGAGCTAGAAAAAGAGATTCAAATGTAAATAATACTGGTGCGACTGTTGAAAACTCTGGTAGTGCTTAATAGGTGGTAGTTTTGGTCGAGTAGAGCCTAAGATGGCTGTTGGATGGTGATTTGCATGTTAGCACCTCTACTTGAGTAGCGAATGACAAGGTGGAATCCGCTCGCAGGGGAGGTCAAGAAAAGCTCTCCATGAGGAGGTTTGTTCATTTTTTTGTTTTTTTTTTTTTCTTGTTGTAAATATTATGTGGACAAATATTTTATGTAGAGAGCTGTTTTTACCAGAAGTACATTCTTCCGTGGCTTGATGTGTCAACGGGACTTTTTGCTCATCCCAAAGAATGAATTCTGAGCTATAGAGAGTCCCCAACACATTTCATACATTCTAAATGAAGGTGAAATGGCCAAATTGAAATTGGAGGGGTGTTTTGGCCCAAGATTTGGAAAATCTCGTGGCTTCTTTTTGTTATTTGAGTTATTTTCAATAGAACAAATGCGAAGTTTCCTTCAGGCTATGTTTGGTTGGAGCATTTGAAAAAGGAAAAGGGAAAGGAAAAGGGAAATAAAAAAAGTTATGTGAAATTATGTAAAATGTAGGTATATTTTATTCATATTTTATTTTTTCATTTTTCTTTTCAAATTTCTGTTCGAATTTTCAACCAAACATAGTCTTAATTGTAGCACTTTACTCTCATCCAGTTTTGAGGTGGGATTTTTAGTTTTCTAATCCAAATCATAGAGAAGCGTCAACCACATTTAGTACTTCCAATTGGCCACAAAAGGAGAAAAAAAGACCCAACCCTAAATTTTAGTCCTCTTTTCGGCCATCTATTGTGGTTTGAAATTTTTATCACTTTGCCCAATTAAGAGAATGATAATACATTCTCATGAGGGTTATATTTTGTTATTTTACATTAAAGTATAAAAAATAAAAAAAAGGCTAGAAGGTTCCCAATAGTGTCACCATAAAAGGCCAAAAATGTATATGCCAAACAAGTGGGCTTTTAAGGTTAAGATGGATAAAGAATATTTTTCACCATTATAATTTGATCTAAATTTCATCTTAGAAGTATAATTTATCCTCTCTTTTTTTATTGTCTTATTTTTAAGTTAAAAAAACCAGTTTTAGTCGAATGAGATTTGAAAATCCAACAGTGGAATTTCTTCTACTCATTCCATCTTCCAAATTTCTTTTGGAAATTGCCAAGTTTCACTGACCTTTCTAGAGTGTATTTTTGGTGACAATTACCTTTATGATTTTTTAATGGCATTGAGACATGTCATGGTCTCTTCTCATTCCATCTTCCAAATTCCTTTCAAGTTTCACTGACCTTTGTAGAGGTTTTTTTTATTTTTTTATTTTTTTTTATTCTTTGTGACAATTACATTTTTTACCCATTCTATCTTCCAAATTCCTTTTGGAAAGGGTAAGTTTCACTGACCTTTTTGTGACAATTACATTTATGTTTTTTTTTTTTTTAACTGCACTGGCATGGCAACATCAGAGATCTCTATTTTATATTAGTGATGGATGGAAATGCGATACATTTTAAATTTTATAGTAAGATTGATGAATGAGGAAAATCATTGAGCAATTTTGAACAATTTCATTGAGCAATTTTGAACAATTTTAAACAATTTCATTGAGCAATTTTGAACAATTTCATTGAGATATTTTGAGCAATTTTATTATAATTTATATCTTTTAGGATAAATTATAATAATAGTCTCTAAAGTTTAACACCTTTTTCATTTAAGTCCCTAAAATTTTAATTTTGTCAATTGAGACCCCAAAGTATTAATTTCAAATCAATTTAATACTAAAGACAATTTAAAATTAAACATAAGTCTAAAGGTTATATAAAATTGTGATTAGGCTCATATTTTAATTTATTATTAACATAATTATCATCTGCATGTGTGTTTTTATAATTGGTATATTTCTCACTGACTAATTAATTCTAAGTGCTTATATATGTCATTCTTCTATTTCTATTCTACTATAATTTATTTCTTCTAATCGCAATTATTCATTTTATCTTTTTTTTTTGTTGATATTTTTAATATTATTTAATATTTCATTTTATTATCCTTTTCTTATTCCACCATTATTTATAATTCGTCTAAATTATAATTATTTAGATTCATTTTTTTTTATCTTTTTGGTGGTATTAATTCAATATATTCCCTTGTAAAATTTTCCCTGTAAGGATAATGATAATTATATTGATTACCTTTTATCTAATTATAGATGTCGAACTTCATGTATAATCTATAATTGATTTTTCTTAAGATTTTGTTAATTTTTTTTAATAACCTGATTATAGTATTATTTTATTCAATAATTGTTTGTAGTGTAGTACTATTATTTAAATTATCTTGTTCGACTTTTTTAATCTATTTAATGCTCATATATTAATATTAGCAAAATTGATAAACCAAAAGCTTATATCAATTTTAAAACACACACGTAGAGGGTAATTAAATTAACAATAAATTAAAATTTGGGCCTTCTAACAATTTTATATAACTTTTGGAGTTATATTTTATTTTGATATTGTCTTCATGAGTAAATTAATTTGAATTTAATACTTTAAATACTTTAATTAACAAAATTAAAACTTGAGAAACTTACGAAAAAAGTGTTAACCTTTGGGAATTATACTCTTATTTATTTTGTGCTATAAGACAAAAGTGTTGTAGATAAGTAAATAGATCAATTCAAAGTTTTTTTTTTTCTTTTTTGGGTAAATTACATTGACACCCCCCCACCTTTTAGAAATTATATCCCTGAGATTTAAAGTTTCATTACAGATTGTCCCATGAGGTTTAAAATTTCATAACAGTTCTCTCCCTCACCATAATGATCATCATACATAAAATTAAATTAACAGGGAGGTCAGTGTAATTTCCCAAATGTGAGGGGGGAACTGTAATAAATATAAATCTCAGGGGGTGTCAGTGTAATTTACCATTTTTTTTTCTTTTTTTTTCTTTTTTCACTTTGTTACGGACTCTCTTATAAAGAGATACGGTGATGATACGAGGCTCTAGGGAGAGTTTTAACAAGAGCTCTAATGTCGTGACAAGGTTTAAAAAAAAAAAAAGGTTAAAATATTAAATCAATGGGTAGGCTCCATCCATTAGAGCTCCTTTAAAGTTTTTGTTTTAGAGCTCCTAAACATTTTTGTATGATTCACACATATGGAGTCCACCACCTTATGAGAGGGACAATAAAAAATGTAATGCTACATATAGTGTCTTAAGCGGTGTTATTTTGGCTGATTAAAAAAAAAAAAATAGTCAATTTGTTTGATTCTTATTTTTAGAATTTATTTTTAAAAAAATTAAATTTTTTTGTTTTTATTTTTATTTTTATTGAATTTTTTAATATTCTAAGCAAAAAAAGTTTAAAATTTTTAGATACGCCTAATATAAATACACTTAAAAAGTATAATATTTGTAGAAAAAATCTTTAAAAAATTCACTAAATACCAAAAATACAAAAATAAATTATGAAAATTCAGTACATTTTTTTTATTCTTGTATATTTATTGATTTTTTTAAATATTATTTTATCAATACTTTATGTGCGATGAGCAAATATTCAGGCAAGCCCACACTCCTTTCTTCCAAGCTCCAGTCTGTCTGATCGACCTGCGAGCACAACAGCAGTGAGCTACCCGGCGGTGTGTGGCCGGAAAGCCCCTCCGACGATCAAGTTAGATACACACACAGGGATCGAGAGAGAAAGAGAGGACTGAGTTGTGTTTAACGTTTTTCTTACCAAATTGTCATCTGTCCAGGCATGGGGGGCGCATACCCGCTTATATACCTTTTGCGCCCCAAATCTACTCCTATTCGTCTCTCGACACGTGGTGCTGCTATCCCATCTGTTAGCACAAATCTTGCTGAACACCACCTAACCAAACTGCCAGCCCACTCTACTGGGAGCTCGGCAGCTGGGCTGAATCTTCTCAGCTATCAACGGCTATGCTGTGCAACTGGCCAGAGCGCTCCGCTCGCCGTGCTCAATGAGGACCGAGCTCGTTTGCATCCCGACATAGCCGAGCTCGGGACAGTTTATGCTGGTTTGCCGCCGGCTTTCCTGCCGGGCTAACTCACGAACCGTAGAACAACAAAGCCATTCCTGGCGCCAGACACCTCACTTGCCCGGCCTCTATAGCATGCAGCCAAGTAGCACGGTCCAACCACGCATTGCCTTAACCAAGCAAATCCTTTCAGGGCACGGGCAGTGCTACTTCGGCCCAATCTTGTTCGGCCCAAATCTGTCCGGCCATTACCACGGCCCAATCCAGATCACAAATCTCTCTCTCAATTAAATAAAGTCATCGGTCCCCGTGCCTTGCACATATTGTTCGCTTTGGCATTCCGACCGCACGGTTTTGTTCCTCCCCCACTAAGGGAAAAGGCCTATGCAAGGTAAGAGGAGCCAGCCTGCTTATAAGGTGGGAAAGTAGTCCTTCACAGACCGATGTGGGATTTCCCGCACATTAGCCCCCAGCCGCGCTGGCTCCGATCACCCCGGAGGGAGTTCCCACAAACGGCGCCAAATAAAGCCACCGGTCCCCGTGCCTTGCACATATTATCCACTTTGGCATTCCGACCGCACGGTTTTGTTCCTCCCCCACTGGGGGAAAAGGCCTATGCAAGGTAAGAGGAGCCAGCTTGCTTATAAGGTGAGAAAGTAGTCCTTCACAGACTGATGTGGGATTTCCCGCACACTTTACTTTTTAGATACATCTAGGTGCATCTAAAAAAAAAAAAAATTTGTTTAAAATTTTAAAAATATTCACTAAAAGTAAAAATAAAAATATGGAAAACAAAAAATTCAATTTCCAGAAAATTAAATCCAAAAAATTGAAACCAAACACACCGAGTGTTATTTTTAGATTTTCATATGTTTTAGAGTGTTTTCATTAAATATTTAAAAAAAAAAAGAGAGCTTATTTCTAGTCTACATTTATGGATTGAATAGTCTAACTAAACTCATGACGCTCACCATAAACCCTATTATAATGATTTATCCATTCATGTTGTTGTTCCCTATGCATAACGTTCATTAAAAAATTGGATTGATCTATTAAGTACAATCATTAATTTTTCAACAAAAAATTTAAGAAAAAAAAAGGCAGTAAGAATAGTTTTGAACAAAGGTTGTCTTCAGTCCACACTTGCTGACAATTTCCAAACACTACCTTAATTCGAGCCTTAAGTTCAATTTCATCTAGTTGATATAATCGTCCAATTTAAAAGGATTACAAATGTAAAGAATGCACAAAGAGCAAAACAAGCATATAACTAAATTCTCTGTATATCAATCCAATTTCATTCGATGCATCCCAAGAGATAAGTATGACTAATTCAAGTAGTAACAAATTTTCTTTTATATATTT